ATAACGCTCTATTCCTCCAAGAGCTAAAATAGACCACAACTGTTCTTTAAATCACCTGCAAATAATATGTGAGGTTCAGCAATCAGACTCTATTTTAAGACACTGTTGCCTACCAAAGACCATATATTATGGGCTGATTTCTCTGGATACAGAAACAGTTAACTGCATTTTCATACAATGTAACATTTAGTAATCATACATAACACATGACCTACAATAACCTTTAATGGCTAGAAAATCTACCACAGTGTAGCAAGTATTTTAGTGACAACATGCCCATACAAGGCAAAATTGCTATGGAACACAAACTTTGTCTTTCCTTACACCCATTTCAAGTTTTTCACTTTATCCCACCGGAGTTATTAGCCAATACAGATTCATCTATGTGGGCTGAGCTTACATTACAACTATTACTAACTGTCATGCCCCCAAAGCTATCTGGTTTTCCCTGAAAGAAATGATAATGTTTACTCTATACTGCTGCTTTGTCTGCCAAGCGAAGCAAAGAGCCTCCGGTTTTAATGCACTGGCAGTGCCCTGTCTTGATTTTTACCTCTGATAAATTCATTGTAGTTTTTTTAGACTTGATGTAAGTAAAAACTTAAGAAAAGAAAAAGCATGTAGCATTACCAACTGCTAAGTTATCCATTACCTTTGTATGTAAGTCAGAATTTCTCAGCTGTGCAAACTCAGTTACAGACATAAAGAACTCCACCGCCTTGGGGGTGTGTGGGGAGTGTGATGCTGCACTGTGCCAGACCAGATGGCAGACTTCAAACTTATCTGCAACCTCTTCACTGAGTCTATGCAGGGCAGGAACAATGACTGTCCATGAATGGACCCTTTCACTGATCACACACAACTAGCTATGTGAGCTACTTCTCCTATTGCTCTAGCATGGCTCACTGAAAACAGAGGCAATTTCTTGGCAGCAGAGAGACCAAAGGAAGAAGGAAAAAGATAATATGGGTGGGTGGAGGGGACAAGTTAGTCATATAGTCATCACTTCCCCTATCTTTAACTCATGCTATTACATCACTCATTCAGTATACATTCAAGTAAAGTATCCCACAAGCAGAAACCAAGATTTAAAGCGTATGCCACTCATTACAGAACTAAAAGAACAAAAGACAAAACATAGTCTACCAATTTAAGGAAGAAAATTGTTCAAGCAAGGATTTGGGAAATTATTTTGTGAAAGAAAAATTTCAGTTTAGCAAAAATTACAGGGGGGTGGGCTGCGGTGGAAACAATTTTTCTTATTCAGCAATGCTTAGTGGAGACTGAAGACAAGAACATAAGTGCAGGCAGACAACACAGTACCAACAAGACAAGATCTCAAGACTACAAAGCAAGTCTTTGAATACACTAATGTTCACAGCATCCAAAGAGACAGTGTTAATAATTGCTATGAAAGGAGAAAATTAAACAAATCAAGATGACAACTAATAAAACCATGATTTTAGACAACCCAGGGAATTCCATTCAACTTTCCTGAAAGTGGCATAGACACAAATTCAGAATGAGAACAAGGATGGTCCTGGCCAACAGGATGACTGAGAGTTATCTGTCATGATGCTGATATATCTTCAGCCCCAGGAGGTTCCTAGAGCACAGAGTGCTAGGAGAAAGAGGAAGACAACGACACTAAGGTGCCTGTCCAATTGCTCAGGCAAAAAGGTTTTGAATAATCCATTACTACCAGCGGGTGTATTCCTGCTCTCCCTTCCAGCCTCCAGTTCTTGGCTACAATGCCCCTAACTGTACATCAGCACACATCAGACTCCTCTGAACCTATGCAATTCACCCAAATCACACAGAACGAGCCCCAGAATAAAAGTGGTAAGTTCTGGTGTGTGAAATACCACTAAGTGCCAAAGCTGGGACAAAGGAGGAGATGGGACAGTGTAAATAAGAGCTTTGGGGAAAGAAGGAAGGAAGGAAGGAAGAGAGGAAAGGGAAGTCATATCCTCCCATTTTTGGTGGCTGTGGAATTACAGCCTCTTTCCACAACGTTTGTCGCTATTATCAGTCAGAA